AGCCGGACACCTGGCTGAGCTCTCCAGCACAACAAAACCCGGTCCCTGGCCCTGCACAGTGCTGCCGGACCGGGCTGCAGGAGGAGGAGCTGCAGGCTCAGAATGCAGGGAGGAGGAAGCTGCTCCGGAGTCCAGCCCGGGACTTTCCTGCAGCCCTCCCAGCTGCTCGCTCTGCTCTGCCGGGGGAGGGGGGAAATCCCGGACATTGTGAGTGCTTTACAAATTCCCCCCGGACGCTATTTTTAGCAGAAAAAGGAGGACATGTCCGGGTAAATCCGGACGAATGGTAACCCTAGCTGCCAGCATTTCAGCTCCGCTGGGGGTAGCAATGAGGGGGGGTTAGTGTAGGCAGCGGATGGTATTTTAAGCACCATGGTGTTTAACCTTCGCTTGAGCAGGTCTTGCCAACATGTTGGCTTAAGACGCTGGTGATCAGCGGCAATGTGGCCATTCTAGAGTGTCGACCCTTGTGAGCACTAGTGGTAACAACCGGGGGAAATATTTGGCAAAATAGCCCATCATGGACAAAGCCAGAAGCACCATCTAAGCCAGCCAGGGGGGTTTCAAATCTCCACACACACTGGACTGGGAAACTACGAACTGCAGTTGGGGATACTCAGTCTAGTTCCTCAGGCTTGCTAGACGTGCTAAGGAACATGGCAAAGAGATGTTCTGATGGGGACCAACCTGGGACAGAAGCTCTCCACCTGCCTTCCCCCGGCAGCAATCATTGAGGATACGTCTACACTGCAGAAAAAAAACTCCATGGCAGCGAGCCTCAGAGCCGCGGTGAACTGACTTGGGCTTGTGATATGGGGCTAAAAACAGCAGTGTAGACATTCCTGCTCGAGCAGGTGCTTGCGTTCTGAGACCCACCTCACTGCTGCTATTTTAATCCCCGTAGCGTGAGCCCCATAAGCCCGAGTCAGCTGACCCAGGCTCTGATGTGCGCAGACTCAGGGATTTTTTTGCCCAGCAGATGGACGCTTAGTGTGGAAGTGACAACACCCCACCTGTTGTTCTGTGATTCACTCTGACTCAAAGGCTCGGTTTATTTGCACATTGCAAAATAATCCATCCTCCGCAGTGAGTTAAACAAGGGCAGCCCAGTTGCTGTGTTGATCAACCCTATTGCACATCATGAAATCCGAAAGCCATAGGACCAAATTCTGCTCTCATTCCCATCTGTGCAACCCAATGAATGAGGTCATCTGTGCATAACGGAGCAGAATCTGGCTGTAGTTTGAGTTATGGATGCGATTATCTTTTGGATGCTTGGCCATTGTATCAGGAGCTGATTTGTGTGTAGTTCTCTTATTGAATTTCCTTGCGCAGATAAGGTGGCGGCAAGGTAGGTCCCTAAGAAAGTTCTGCCAATAGCAAATGGATCACTGTAGAAATCTGGGGGCGTGGCCTCAGCTGGTGTGACTCAGCTCAGCTTCATTAACTCGAGATCAGCTCACACCACAGGAAGAATAGAATTCTATAGCAAATACATTCCCAGGTAAGTGAATGAGGAGCATGGATCAGCGTTCACGTCTCACTCCCTGTCAGTCCCTGGCCTGGGCCTGGGAAGCTAATGATCCAGCCAGGGGAACAAATTCGATGATGAATCTTGGCCACGTGCCACCGGAGTCATGTTGCGCATTCACTAAGAAGAAGTTAAGTGAATGGAATACAAGAGCTAACACATCCCCATGCAAAGAATGGGGTTCAAGAGTTAATGGATTCCCACTGAAGCTAATGGACTCTAGGAGGTACTGCCTCCAAAGCTGAGCCCAGTCAAAATTTCAATTGACATTTTCTGGCGGCGCCATGGTACAGCATCACCACCATAGAATCATAGACTATGAGGGTTGGAAGAGACCGCAGGAGACCATCTAGTCCAACCTCCTGCTCAAAGCAGACTCACTCTTCCTCACAAGCTGGAACAATGAGAAAGGGGCAGTGAGCAAAGAAGGGCTCAGTTCCAGGATACTCTAATAGCTGCAGAATGCACTGACCATAGACTTTGGAGAACCTGGAGTGGTTCAAGAGACAGGCATGGTGTATGGGAGTGGAAGCCAGAAATTCCCAAGTTATAGTCCGGGCTCAGGCAGCAAGTTCTTCCAAGATTCTGGGCCTGTTACTTCACCTTCCCGCGTCTCATTTTCCCAGTGTACAATGGAGATTGTAACAATTACCATTCTCCCTAGGGCACGGTGATGATGAATGAGTTAACATCCGTAAAATTAGTTCTCTGAAAACATCTGCTCAATGTGCAGCAGCCATCAAAAAAGAAAACAGAATCCCTTAGGAAAGGGATAGATAATAAGATAGAAAATATCATAATGCCACGATATAAATCCATGGTACGCCCATACCTGGAATACTGGCGTGCAGTTCTGGTCGCCTCATCTCAAAAAAGTTATGTTAGAATTGCAAAAAGTACAGAGAAGGGCAACAAAACTGATTAGGGGTATGGAACAGCTTCCATGTGAGGAGAGATTTAAAAAGACCAGGGGGAAAGAGACGACTAAAAGGGGATATGCTTAGAAGTCTATAAAATCATGAATAGTGTGGAGATAGTGAATAAGGAAATGTTATTTACCCCTTCACATAACACAAGGACCAGGGGTCACCCAATGAAATTAATAGGCAGTGGGTTTAAAACAAACAAAAGGGAGGACTTCTTCACACAACGCAGAGTCAACCTGTGGCACTCATGGCCAGGGGATGTTGTGACAGCCAAAAGTATAACTGGATCCAAAAAAAAAATTAGATAAATTCATGGAGGATAGGTCTATCGGTGGCTATTAGCCAAGATGTTCAGGGATGCAACCCCATGCTCTGGGTGTCCTCTGACTGCCAGAAGCTGGGGCTGGATGACAGGGGATGGATCTCTCAATAATTGCCCTGTCCTGTTCATTCCCTCTGGAGAATGTGGAACTGGCCACTGTCAGAAGACAGGATACTGCGCTAGATGGACCATTGGTCTGACCCTGTATGGCAGCTCCTATGTTCTTATGTTCATAAGTGTTCTAGAAGTCCCACTTCTTATTATCTACCTCAACATCTGCAGACCTGAACCGTAACCGGATTTGAACACCTCCCTGTGTGCTGGGGATGGGACACTAAACCATGAGGCTCTTCCCTACTATAGCTGTGCTGAGATGGGATCTGTGCCAGCTGCAAGAATATCTCAGGCCTGAACTCCCCAAAATTCAGCAACAAGTTAGGACCTGGCTTCCTCTTGGAAAATAATGGGCATATTATCAGTCTGGCTTAGGTACTGCAGATGGCTTCCCATCGCTGCAGTATCTGAGCACCTCACAATCTCTAGTGGATTTATCCTCACAACCTCCCTGCAAGGCAGGGCAGCGCTATTATCCCCATTGTACAGATGGGTAACTGAGGGCCAGAGCCACTGAGCAACTTCCCCTAGGTCACACAGGAAGTCCATGGTAGAGCAGGTAATTGAACTCAAGTCCCCAGTTAGTGCCCTAACCATTGGACCATCCTTCCTCTTGATTCCTGATCATCCCCCAAACCATTCGCCCAGCGCAAGGTGGCCGTTCACTTTTGCTTATTCTAAAGTGTGGCACTTCCTGTTTGAAGCAACCCCAGCTTTACAATGGAGTTGCGCTCATACCTGGGGCGAGGCCAGCAGAAGGCTCATGACCCAAGCGACGCATAACATGAGTCTGTTGCGTCGACTGGAATTAGCGAAGGCAAAGGGGTGGAGGATGGCTGAATGCCGGTCTAGGCTGATAACCACAAGCACCAGCGCTGCAGAGTACATGGCAAAGAGTTTGAGGAAGTTCAGCAATTTACACGGCAGGTCCCCGGCGTACCACTGGACCGTCACGTTCCACACAGCATCCAGGGGCATGACCGTGAAGGTCACCAGTAAATCTGCCACCGTTAAGCTCAGTATCAGCAGTCGGACATGGGACTTCCTTCTCTTCCTCATGATGCTGTATAACACAACTGAGTTGCTGGATGCTGCTATCAGGAAAAAGCAGATGGTGACGATCACACGGACCCTGGCTGCTAGCGTGAAAGTGGGTTCGATCCAGGGCTCGGGGCAGCCGGAAACAGAGAGGTTTTCATCCACGACATCAGCTGACTGAGGAGGCGTCATAAGGTCCCGTTCTTCAGGCATTCCCTGCAGGAGAACAAATGGCAAAATCAGAGAAGAAAGCTAGGCCTAAAATCCCTGTCAGGTGTCCATTTAGCATGGGACAGCTTTAAATGTGATGGAGAGGGAGGTTCGATAGGCTTAGCCAAGGATTCTCAAATGTTTTAATATTCTTAACTGGTAGTGCCTTACCGGCCCCGACCAGGGCCAATAAGTTGGGCGTGGGGTCTGACTAGACAATCTAAAGGTCCAGTCTACCCATAAACTCTATGAAACTTCGACTATTAAAACCAAAAGATTGTGCCTGCCTCAAAGAGTATACAGGCTGAAAGACCAGACAGACAAACAAACAGGCAGAGACAAGCAACAAACAACAGTACAATTTCTTCTCAGTTGCCTAGTTTCCATAATGTGGACCACATCTTACTACACAGATTGTCCCATTGAGCTGCATCCTCTTCCATTTGCTATTGTGGGGCCCATCGCCTCCTCCTCCTCATAACAACACATCATCTCCATGGTGACTATAGCAACCGCTCACATGGAAATGTATTTTAAGCACTTTTCAATGCTGCTTAGCAGGTGGAAACAAGGAGGCGACAGTCCCATGTGACCAGCCAACTGTGCAGATGATCCAGTAAGAGCTTGGTGGAACCCAGCTGGTCGTTTGACCAAAAATAGAGACCCTCTGGTCTAACGAGGAGTTAAAATGCACTTGAAATACTGAGAATCTCTGGAATTGTGGTGCTCTGAAGTAGATACGTTGAGTTCCATGGAGTTTATACTGGGTGTGGGAGAAGATCCATGTGATAAGACATTAAAAACAGAGGGTCTGACTCCTCATTGAAGACCCGTTGGCACTTTTCTTTAGAGTAGGGGTGTCCAAACCAGTGTCTTTGTTTACATTCTCCCCTGGTCTGCTGTTGTGCAGTGAGCTTGGGTCTGTGGCTCTGGAGATAGAACCACTGGCTGTTGTACGCTGTGTGCAGAGAAGAGGTGTCAAATCCCATCCCTCCACACCACAATCCCAGGAAAGCTCCATGAGGCGGAGACCTATGGAGTCTTCCTTTCCTCATAAGTATTTCCATGGGAGGCAGCAATCTGAGCAAAAATACCTCTCCTATCCATGTTAGCACAGCCGCCATGAACCTATGACACCCCAGACACCTGCATATTGCCCTGTTCAGGTCACTGGGATTATATTATTATTATTCATTATTTGTGTTACTGTATTGCCTGGGAGCCCTAGTCATGGAGCAGGACCCCATTGTGCTAGGCGCTGTACAAACACAGGACAAAAAGACGGTCCCCTCTCCAAGGAACTTACAATCTTAGGCCTGGTCTACACTAAGGGGGGGGGGAGAAATGCAACTTCAGCTACGTAAATAATGTAGCTGAAGTCGACGTACTTAGATCTACTTACCGCGGTGTCTTCACTACGGTGAATCGACTGCTGCCGCTCTCCTGTCAACTCTGCCTGCGCCTTTCGCGGCGGTGGAGTACAGGAGTCGACGGGAGAGCACTCGAGGGTTGATTTATCGCGTCTAGACTAGACGCGATAAATCGATCCCTGCTGGATTGATTGCTGCCCGCCGATCCGGCCGGTAGTGAAGACATACCCTAAGTATAAGACAAGAGGAAACAGATGGGTATAGTCACACTGATGGAGGAGCACAAGGAAACAATGGGAGAACACTGGTCAGTAGGACAGGCAGTAGTCTCTGCACACTAGCAGCCGATAACACAGTGGCCCATATTGCAAAGGCCTGTCCTGCACTCTGCCCAGAAAAATGCCTCGCAATCACCATCTAACATTGATTCACTTACAGCATGAACAGGTTTCAGGGCTGCCAATTTTATCTGTTTATTCCCTGGAACAGGAGCACGGAGCTATGTTAGCACAACACAGACAACACTCAGAAGGATTTGACACAGCAGGCCATCTTTGGTGTGAGACCCCTGTAGTCGGTCCATATTACACCAGGAAGGAATTTGGCCCAAGGACATTTTTAAAACTCTGATCTAAACTTATTGCTTGCTAAGTGGAGATGGGACATTGGCCTGAATCTGCCAAACTTTGGGAGTCCAAAAAAAAAAAAAAATAAGGACCCCCGGCTGAACTGGGTTGTCAGGTTTGTTTTACAAAACTCATGAATGACAAGGTTTAGCAAGACCACGCCACGACTGGTTTTGCCCAGCTCTGTTGGAGATAGTCAGGGACCTGTATTAGAACCATTGACACAAATCCCTAGGTACAAACATGCACACACACGCTCCCTGAACATTGTGGGTCCAGACAGGAAAGGACCTGATTCTGAACCAATGCCATATCACTGCAAAACCCAAACCCAACTGACAAGATTTTCCAAACAAACCAGCTCCAGGTGTCATCCATCTTTGGTGTCAAGGCTCATGACATTTTCTCAGTCCTTATTAATCTGATCTCCAGGGCTGCCTATCAATATCTGATTCCAACTTCCAGCGTATAACAAACCCACAAACCTCACCTGCTTCTCAGCAGAATGGAGACATCCTGCCGAGCTCTGGGTTCAGTAAGCAAAGGAAAATAAAAGATGTGCCGTTAATAAAAAAGAAAGAGAGGAGTCTCTCTTTTTCTTTTTCCTCTCTGCTCATAATAAAGATACACACGAGCACTTCTCACAGATGCGAAGAGCGGTTCACCCCCCTCCTTTCATTCATCTGGATGGTGACATGAAGTCATCCCCCAAACAGTGCCCCACAACTATCTCTAAACATGTTTATATGTGGGGGGGTTTTCCCTGCAGAAAGATGCAACCTATACAGTTTCAAAGCCAGATTCTCGCCCAGGTAACTCAACTGTGCAGACTCACCACTGTTCCACTGAAACTGCCCTGTGCTCCCGTACAGAATGATATCGTGAACAAGCCCACTTTCGAGGGCAAAGACTCAAATTTAGGAGAACACAAACAATAAGCACCGATGAATGCGAGCAGCTTACAAACTGTTTCATGCAGCCGGGGCTGACGCTCAGTTTCACTTACACAGAAAGAATGTGCTTTCCCCTGGTGAAGTTACAGAAATAAAACCATCAGCAGAGACTGCATCGACATCCTGCTCCCCAACTAACTTATTGTTACTACACTCACACTTGCTCTCCCTCTTCTCCGTACTGTCATTTAGTCCCATGCTCCGGGGCTAGTTACAGCTATTTGCTTTCCTGCAGCCCCCACAAAGAAAGTAAGCGCAAATATGACCAGAGTCTTAGCTCAAACCCCAAAAGCAAGCAAAAAGCGATAGCAATGACAGAGTACCAAACGGGTCACTTCTCCTATTATTGCCAGTCCACGGGAAGGA